AGGGTCGTGTATGCCTGCAGGAGAAATTTGCTGTTATGGAAAAAATTTTTCCCATTGTTGACTTTTTGAGTGATTTTTTCCTGTTTCGTATGTACTATGTACCCCCCCCCCCTTTTCCATTTTTTTTGCTGTCTTCTAGAGATAGGAAGACCAAGGATCATTTCAGCGCCTATTCGGCCCATCGTCTTTCACCTCTAGAAAGAGTTCCGCTGGTTATCTTCTTGTAGAGGTGGGGTCAGCTGACAGAGGCTGCTCGAGGAATGTTCGGCCTACGTTCATAATGGATTTCCATTGCTTAAAAAATGGAAATAACTTTGTGAAAACGAAAGTCAATGGAAAATAGCCCTGGGAAGTTAGCACATAATCAGTCATATTGCACTTTCTATCCACACTTCATGAGACTCCTACCTAGTAGCTTTTGAAGTCTTCACTTCTTTGCCATACTAAATGGAAAAAATTCCGCGCCAGTATTTTTGAATAGGGTCTTCAAAGATACGTTCCGCGTTTATGTGATGTTCTGGTGTCCCTTTGGACGTGGTAGTCCTGCTTGCAAAAGCAGAGAATCTACTGGGTAGTCCTGCCCGCAAATGTGGAGGACAAACTGTTTTCACAGCTAAAAAATACGATCTGCTTGCGACGAGGCCACCGCCCACCTGCCGGCCATGGAAACGCCCAACATTCCAGAGGTACCCTGGTGATGAGGATGTTCCACAGCTGACTCCCTCGTTCGCGATTGGTGAGACTGACGTGATAAGGGGAATGAGCTGACGCCAACAAGCGAGAACTCGTCCAATCACACCTTGTGTACGTACAAACGCGGCACAGCATGGGGCTCTATATGAAGCATCTCTAGCGGGTTTTTCTTCTGTTGTTGCTCACTGCTGTGTTAATTGCCTCCACGTCACTACTATTTGTAACGTATAACTCACCATTTTTGAACATAGGCTGTGCTTTGCATTTTTTAATCGACAATTTCCTATTTCGGAAGAGTTTGTTGAGTTTTTGAAAAACTTGACTCATGAGCGTAAAGAGTTTTGGAGTATAGTTGGTGGAGGTTTCGTTGCATAGAAGAGAGTGTATTTACCATCGTCGTTGCTATTGTCGTCGACCACCCAACGAACGAGACGCCATTGCGGCAGCAATGTTTGAATAGCACCACTAGCTCGAGTTCTCTGTAGACATTTCAGATATATTCCAACGGATTTTCATGCATTTAAAACCAAGTCCAGGGCGTAAGCTATGTATTTTTTTCGGGTATTTTATAGGGGATTTCGTTTGCCCTTTCGTGGCTGCCAACCCCTCAACATTTCTCATTTGCTCAACTTTTTCCTTATGGGCTCTTAATGTTATCCACAGTGAGATCTTCTTGTTGTGTATGTTTCTTCTTGTAAGCACAATAGTTACCTGTTCTTAGGGCAGGTACGTTGGGGAAACCCCATTAGGGGGGGATCGTAGTTGGTCGCTGGGGGAGGGGGATCGCTTTTGAGAGTGAAATTTTTGGTAAATTTTGGTAGAAGTGATAGGAAGCTGGCTAGAGAAACTTTGAAAGATGGTGGGATGGGAGATGGGAAAGGCGGTCGTGCTAGAAGAGGAACTTTGAAAGGGGGGGGGGAAGATCGTATTTTGCAAAGTTTTCCTCAGTGGCTGCCCTGCATGTGATGCTTCTACTTTGTGCCAACAGGTTAGTAAGTGGCGCTATGTATTTGATTATGGCCTAAAGCAGATCAGATCGTCCTACTCGTCCAGTAACTCTGCTGGTGAAAGTAAAGATACAAAGTTAAAAACAGGACCAGTTTTTACGAAAAGGCAGTTGGATCATCCTGAATACCTTTTCCGGAGTTGTTTTGTTATGATGCCTGGGGCACGACTTCTGCCCACAACTCAGCATTCTTGTGATAACTTTTTCGGAGTGTTCGGCAAGAGGGGGTCATTTTGCCCTTCAGCTGCTTCACCAGTTCCGGTCAAGTCTCACTCTGGTGAAACCTGTGAACTCGTGTGAAGCTGGAGCGAGCTCGTTCAACCATCATGTTGAAGCCTGTCAACGCTTATAAGCTCAAATGGCTTCTAGATCGTCAACATTTTAATGGGAAGTAGCAAAATTGCGAAATACCCCCTCCCCGTCGCCGAAATGCCCCCTCTTTTTCATACTTCTAAACAAAAACATGTGGATCCTTCACAGTGAGTCTAAACAAAAACATGTGGTTCCTTCACAGTGACAGTGGACAGGGTTGGCCTAAAGGGTAGATATGGGCAACAGAATCGCAGCCGGTGTCGTCTTTACTCCCATGGAGTTTCTGCAAAATATTGTCGGAAGGAGGCTGCACAGTTAGTGGTGTTTCAAAATGCACATTAAACTGCTAGAGAGCGATGCCTCGTGGGACACATGCTACTTTATGAATGTTTCATGTTACTAGCAATGCCATGAAAACTCCCAAAAGAGCAATGTTTCCCACGAATGAGTAGCAAAATTGCTGCCTTTGCATGTCGTTAAGCCATTCAATGTGGTGCCCATTCGATGCACTCCGCTCTTTATCGTCTTCGTTCTTGCTCGTTATTAAATGAATCAGCATCTTAGCGAGTCCAATTTCAGCTCTCCTCTTTAACTTTCACTCATGAAAACTGGTTATCTCAAATACTGGAACTGTAAGGTACTGCAGAGCGGAGGCGTAACTTACATGAAAATAATGAAATAGGAATTGCATTCACGGCAGGGCGCATCCTTGTTGGGGAATCCCCAACAAGGGGGGGGGGTCGTATTTGGCCTCCAAGAGAGGTGGCTCGTATTTGCGCAGAAGAAAAATTGCCGAGAAAAATTTAATAGTTGATTTTTCTCGCTTCACGGACGTTGTAAAGGGGGGGGGGGGTCGTACTTGCTCATTGTTGGGAGGGGAGGGGGTCGTATTTACTTTCTGGCCTTTCTAGGAGTGGTGGGAGTGGTGGTTGACTTTTCGTGATTTTCCTGTTTCATCATGCATACTATATGCCCCCCTCCCCCCGCGCTCGACGCCTCGATTCGACGATGAGGAGGGACAGAGGGCCGGAGGGGGAGGTCATACTATCCCCCCACAAAAAAATGGGGGGGGGGTCGCACGGCCACGAAAATCCCATAGCAGTGCTGTGCCATGATTCACGGGGGTCTCAAGTGTTATTTATAAAGCAAGTATGGTGATCAAGGAGCGCAGCCCGCATTGCATGTCTAATTCACAGGAAATTCGAATCAACACTCTCGTAATCTTGGGTCTAATAAAGATTATTCTGTCATTATGACAGGAAAATATCAACGCACTAAAAAATAAAGATAGCTGTTCAGACGTGGGCTCTTCCTTGACGGGTATCTCTCTCAGTCATGATCTGCTCTCTTGCTTTCTGCTAATACGTCTTTCACTAGTTGTATTGCTTTAGACCAACTGCACGCTAACCCCTGTGGCTCCCTGTGCGCGTCAGACGTTGTGGATCCCCAGCGAGGGGTCCCCTCTCCTTCGACGGCCGTTTTTTAGAAAAGCGTAAAGCAATTTTTCAGAAAAAAGCTCTGGATTCAGGGAGATGGTAGGATGGGGGATGAGAAAGGAATTTTCAACAAAGGTAGAGTTTTCGGAGGGGGGATCGTATTTCGCAAGGATTTTCTCCAACGGCTGGACGTGTCCTGGTGGCTCCTGGGTTGGAGGGTAGCGATGCCGATCCCGCGTTGCCGCACGGCTAGCTGCACGCTTGACCATAGCCAAACGCTCTACTTGTCTGCGCCCTCTTGCTTCTAGTTGCTCTCTGCCTCTGGCTTGTGATCGTTGCAGAATTTTGATATCGGCGTAAAAGCTGCTCCTTGTGGAGAGCTTGGACGGGGTAGGCAGGGCTCTTTCCCATGCACTTTTCAGCGGATAAACTGCACGCTAGCATAGTTGCTGACCCATTCACCTCAGGTAGCAAAAAGCGTCCTCATAAGAGGGTGCATAGTTTGTCTTTAGTCGCGCAATACTAGAAGAGTCACAACTGCAGTAAGATCAAACTTCTTTTTGGACATCGAATTTACGAGCATGCCCCCTAATGTTCGAATTCTTTTTTATAAAGCCTAATCTTCTTCACTGTTTTCTCTCCTGATGATTTCCTTTTAGGTTCCTCAACACCAACAAATGCGACCGTATATGTCACCACAAGGTACGATGGTCACACCGACTCATCAAGGAGGTTAGCTGAAGTTTGTTGAAGGATCAGGCTAGGGGTTTAGTTTCATAATAATTGAGATTGCCAGAGCGTAGAGGTCACAAAAGTAGAAGCAGCCGCAGTAAGATCAGCGAAGATAGTTAGGTTTTTTCTTTTTTTTCAAGCGATGAGTGGAACAAAGAGAGAATCACATCCTACAACTGGCTTGCGCAGAAACGACTTATCTGTTAATTCACAAGGTTATGACGGCTTTTCAACCGCTTTTGAGCGCTAGTAACCGGGGGGGGGGGGGAATGTCACACCTGTAAGCGCTTGTCAGCACCTTGTGAACTCCTGTAAAACTTGTTCAAGTGACCGGCGGAGGTTTGGGAAAAAAAAGGAGAAATGGCTTTTGATGACGCTTGTGCCATTTCGCTAAAAGCTTGACGAGCGTTCACAGGGTGCTTGACAGGAATTCAGAAGAGATGCGGAGTGGGACACGACTGTGAACATTCAAAGGAGAAACGAAAGACAAACGCAACTACATTGACAAACGCTTACAAGTGTTGCATCCCCCCTCCCTTTCCATGATTAGTGGCGCCGGTTTGGTTCGCTAAACAGAAGACAGGTTACCAGTGACTGAGTTGCAGATTATGAGTGATTTACAGTAGCATGTGACATAATTAATATTTACGTGTGTCCATGTATATAGCCCTCGTTCAAAAATACGAAGGTATTTTATTCGTAAAGTGCTGTCTGACCGCATAAATCCGTTGGAAATAACGGCTCACATAACTCTTAATTGTGTCGGCATTAGTTAGTGCTATGAACTTTTACGCCTCTTCAAATTGGCGTGAATAAACTTCCAGGTGAGTGAAATTCTTTGGTTTTCGCCCTCCTTTAATTTTCCCAAAATGAGTTTTGTGCACATTTTATATTTTAGAGATTTTGACGTTTCACTTATCTCGCTTTCCTTTCCCGAACTCTTGGTCTCATCAACTTGGACATTTATGATTGTTAAGGAAAATTTTTGCTACATACGACCCACCTTCTCCAAAAGCTATGGAAGGTTTTCTTTTACGACCCCCCTGCCGCAAAATTTTCTCTGTCTGGGCGACCTTTTATAAAGTCGTAATGGGCGTGTCAGTAGGTTGGATTCGGCGTACCGCTGACTTCAGCAATTGGTGGAAAGCCGGCTGGTGCCCCGCCAAACCCAGTCCCTAGACGCACTCCGCATCTGCCCGACAAAGACGTAGTATTGCGCGCAGTTAAACGGGTGTGAGAATCAGGGAAGACCCATTCGGCCCATCACGTCGTAGCAATGTTCCCTCGCCTCCCGAGGACTAAACAGAAGTCGCCTCCCCTTAGAGAGCTTTGCAAATCGCGCTCTCCCACGCGATCCTTCTATTGATCGCTTTTCACGCAATGGATGTGCGCCGCCACACCACCAGCCGTGTTAATGGAATGTAATACCCATACCGCGCTGCGAAGCCCTCGCTTACCCCCCTACCAACATCCCGTAGTTCAGCCCGACGGCTCTGTTTTTTCTGCCGTCTTGAGTGGCCGGTCTAAGTGTCATATAACTTTCTGAAACATATAATAATGCTATAATAAGTACATCATAATAGAATGACACAATTACTAATTTTCAATCCGAAGGCACAGCGGACGCATTGTCCATTAAGCAATCTTCAGAGTGTCCCTTTATTTCGCCGGTTCTGGTCAGTGATCATTCATTCTGCATGATGACATATGAATCAGAAGCCAATTTTCCCACCCCTGAACATGAACACATAACTCGCTTTCCGAAAGTCCTACTGTAAACCCCGTTGACCGCCTCCCCTAGAGGAGCCACACTGAACGCGAATTATTAGGAAGAACGATAGATGGTTTTCTCATGGTCCGAGGTGCTTACATTTAAAACTGTGAATATTGGTTTGGTGAGGAGGAATGAAGAGCGTGAGGAATAAGCCTGTGTAAGTGGAAGATGTTTCTTTTGACAATAATGAGCATAGGCGTGCAGCATTCGATTTTTCCTGGTGAAACAGCTGCTTCATAAGCATAAAGAAAATGGCACAGCAATGCCAGACGCGTATGCAAAGACGTATTGACACATATAATTACGTAGTTAGTCACTGTAGCGGGAGCAGTTTGGCTGCAGTCAGGTGTATGACTGGCCTTGTGGCGTATGTCGTGGCTGTTGTGCGTATCGCGTATCCAGTGGCATCCTGGAGATAGTAAACATCCATTATAAATTACAGGACTATCAACATGGTCTTGGATTCACAGCTTCGCGCTTTAGACTTGGAGAGCGCTATTCGCTCACGCTAACCCGCAGACCTCGCCGTACTTTACGACTACTTGTAGGCAGGATCCATCACTCATATAAACGTAAACATGGTTTTTAGAGCCGGCATTGATCTCACAGGAGACGTCTAGAGCAACCAACCTCATTTAGGCAAATAGTGTGACGGTTGTGGAAAGCTGAGATCGCTAACCACTTTACAACGTCCGCTCGCCAGTAGGCGAAGTTCTTAGTCGTAACTGTGGTCTTACTGTTGCCAACTTCATGGCCATTAGTCGGCGCTTCCCGACAGGCCGAGGCTCGCGTAAAAAGGCTCGCATCGATACCGGGGTTAGCGCTCAACTGCAGTGAGAGAGCTGGAAGGATCAGCCTAGGAAAGCTTTAAGGCTGACTAGAGAATGTGGTGACGAGCTACAGCAACGAGACGAGTTCAGCGTCATCGAGGGTGATTGGCGTGTTAAGAAGCGATTTTCGCTAACTAAAACTGTATCGAGCCCTTCTAGGTTGAAGGAAATAACTGTACGTGTGTTTGAAGATTTGTAATCGTTCACGCGGAAGCTATTGAAGGTACAACAAAGGCAGGCTATTATTGAATTTTATTCCTACGGCTCCATTTTTTTCATTGCCTCCATAGTATCTTTCGCCCTTTAAGGATTCGCTTCTTATTGCGGCAGTTGTACAATACGAAAGTGGCACTTGACGAAAGGTGAGCGTTAAATGCTTTGGCATTTTAGGTGTCAGTTTGCTGTTTTTTATTTTTTTCGCCTATCCATTTCCTGAGACTAACAAAAATTGCATAACTGCATTAAAGTTTCTTATGTAAGTACGAGCCAGAAACTGAGGCTAAGAGAAATGGAGCTCTCATCTATCCATTACTTTACTTGCGCTCTACAGAAATTTCGAAACGGATTTCGGCGGAGTGCCGATTACTTAATAAAAGCTTCAGTGCTCTGGATCGAGTTGGGACATCTTCTATGACCGAATTGCCACCCTATAATAAATTCCTCATACTTGCTTGAAAGTTGTACAGAAAGACAGCGATGGCAAGATGTTTCACCTTGAAAATGTATAATGTGAAATTCACGAGGACGGTTTGTCGACAAACTGCCGCTAATCAAATACTCTTACAAGGTGAACTGGTTTATGCGACAAGTTGTCTTGTGAATCTGAATCAGTTTTGCTCAAAAGATTGGCTGAAGACTGGCCGTGATCCCTTTTCTATCAGTTTCTTCGCCATCTTCGTTTTCTCAGTAATGTCGAGAACTGGTAGTCTGTCTCGCAAATATTCAAGCTCTCTTAGGCAGGGAACGCCATTGTTGTGGCGATCACAACGGGGGGGGGGTCGTATTTGGTCTGAGAAAATTTTTTTGGTAGTTGATTTCTCTTGTTTCACGGACGGTATAAAGGGGGGGGGTCGTATTTGGCCGTTGTTGAGAGAGGACTGCCAAAGATCTATACAACTACTATTTCCGATAGTTGAAAATGATAGTTAAATCCTGACCTATCCCTGCCCCCGCTCGACGGAAAATTGGGAAAAGTTGGGAACATTCAGGAAAGTGGTCGATAGCATGGGAAGGAGGGTCGTATTTTTCAGGAAATGATCACAGCGCAATGGCATACCCTGCTCTGAAGTCGTTAAGCCCAACCAGGCATTTTAAGCTTCCTGAGCATTCACTGGCCCAAATAGTTTCTCCATCTTTCTTTCAGTTACGAAGAGCTTCTAGTTGGCTAGATTGTTGAACCATCATTCATAGAGATAGCTCTGTTTCCTGATCCCGAATTCTACAATTGTATTCCGCACTGGCACCCCATAGCGCAGGTTCCTCGCCGCCACAGCTCCAGTTTCACCATGAGCTCACTAGTACATTGTGTGTTGGGGTGCTCCGATGAGGGAAGTCATTTTAGGGGTCGTTGGAGAGGGGAAGTATTTTTATGGTCTGACTTCTCTCGGTTTCTCGTTCTCCACTTGGTTCGCCTCGCTTTTGGAGAAAACTGGAGAACTCCTGAGAAAAAAAAAACTGTGAAGAAGTGAAAATCCTGACCATTTTTATAAGACGGAAACCCCAGTCTAGTTCCCTGGGGTCATTGTTGGGGCAATTCGGCGACGGGGTTCTCAACGTGTCGAGCCCTCTTTCCTAGCCTGCGCACGTTTTTTTCAACCGCTTGTTTCGGTCAATACAATTCTTAGATTTAATTTGGAAAAATCATTTGCTAGAATTTAAGTTACTCTGACTAAAACTTGGGAGAGGGGGCATTCAAAGGACTTTTCGTGAAAAACTGGGGCAATCTTACACAAAAGAAGTACTGTCTTGTTCGCTGTGGATGCTGGGGCGTGTCACGGGGTTGGACTTAACGCGGCGTCAACCCGCTTTCCACCTGTTGTGGGCCGTGGCGCCAAGCGCAGCAACCCTTCCCCCCACCTCCCACTCCCTGACACGCTCCATTATCCGCAGCGAACTTCGCCGACCTCGGAACCCATTCCCACTTCATGCTCACACCGAGTAAAAAGCAAAAGCTGCTTTTTGCAAGCAAAAATCCTCATCCTCATTGCGGGAATCCCAGAACGAGGTGTCCTTTAGATGCCCTCCTCCAAGATTACATGTGCCTTTTTTCTTCTACGCACCTACCCAGTGACATGCTTAACCTTTTGATAGATGCTGCCCTTTTTTTGTTCCACTCTGCGATTAGAACTTTCCATAGATACCTAGTGAAACCCCCGAGGGGACTCAGTCAAAGCCAGCTGTCTCACGGATTGCTTGTGGACTTTTAGTGGGCTTCCACTCACAATGGTTGGATAGTGTGGTTTTTAAGTGTCATAAGTACTACCGATGTAATGTAGAGAGGTTAACGAATACTTGATTGCCGTTACGCTTTAGATTAGATGTAGAGTAATCCTGTGTTCAGCAGGGCATCAGCCCTGAATTACCAGGAGAGTGAAGGAGGTGTGTCTACGCCCGGACGCCCGGTCGGTTTTTGTCGACCTCGACCACCTCTTCACATAGTCTCCGCCTCCTGTAATCAGCCAGCGTCATCTGAAAAGTGAATCGAATAAGCATCTTGACTAAGTTGTCCGGACGCCGAGTAACTTTTGAAACTTAACCCCCCTATAGACCCTGGATGAGTAGTTGTTCGCAAAAAGGTGCTATCTGCCTTTGGCTCCAGGTTCAGTCATGCTGCCTTGCCTGCTCTTTATCCATAAGTCCATTTTCTTAATCCTGACATGTCACTTTGTAGGAGAAAAGAAGCTGCGATGATATGACAACTTAGTCAAGATGCTTATGGAATATGTGACGGCGCAGTTCAGCTTAGAGGGGGCACCGAACGGTGCTAAGCTGAAGTTCTACAGGCCTCTTTGTGAAATGCTGTAATGCTATGATCAAAGCGATTTACTTTCATCTACTTTCAAAAAAAAATCATCAACTGTAATTTACTCGCTCCGTTTCGCAGCTTCACAGAAGTTCACAGATCTTACCATGAGGAGACCTCTTATTCGACATGAATTGACAAAAAGGAACTATCATACATACAAAATGCCCCCTCGAAGCCGAACAACGCCATGTGGAGCGGCTTTTGTGATGATCCTGATCATAGCGTTCTGTATTCTAAGCTGTTGATTCTCCTTTTCTGAACTGCTCAAACCCTGTCTGCCCCCTATTCTTCTGTAGTAGCCCTTCTACTTACTGCTTATTACAATATCCAATAGCTTCAGACGATTCTGGGAGCATTTGCTTTGCTGGGGGCACCCGATGATACTTAGCGATGATTGCACAGGTCGTGCTGTAAGAACTTACCTGTAGCCAATGTGGTTTATTAGCCCCTTTTCGCAGCATGACAATAACTCACAGGCCCTCCAAAGTGAGATCTGCGAGTTAATGTGAACTAACAAAAGGAACTAGTAAAAGAGCAGAGTGGCCCTCCCAGGCCGATCAGCACCCGATTTTGCCATTGTTGTGAATTTTCTCACGCTGCCATCGGGAATTTTGCTACGAACGTCTCGCATATCGCTTGAATCTACGAATTGTTTTTATGTGCATAAAAAGATGAACATCAGGCACTCGTTGGCAGTCCGGCGACTCCTTTAAAACCTGTTTTCTTCATATACGAAAGTGCAATATCGCGATGTGTTGTGCTGTGCTGTCTCTGAGTCTCCCTACTCCATCATAACGCTCTATTCATTTTGTGAAGAACGTCGATCGTCGTCCAACCTTGTCCTCCATAATGAGTAGAACATGACTGCTCGTGTTTTTGGCTAATTGCTCTGAAAAAGGAGAATGGTGGGAAACGCTTTTTCTTGCTGTTCTCGACACGACATGAATTCTCGTTCTATGTTTCAATTCAAAACCTCAATGTAAACTTGTTCAAGATCCTTGGTTTGCTTGGCTGTGCGTTTCTGTAGAGACTAGATCGATTCTTCTGTTTCCGGACGGTTTTGTTTCTCTTGTGATCCCGAAAAGACCAAGTAGAATGGCTGAAGTGAGGGAGTGGTTCTATGTGTTCGCCCAATAGGCCTAGGTCGTAATTCACTGTATGGCTCTAGAGACACTGGATGTTGGTTAACCAGTTATGAGTTCAAAAAATGATTGTTTCCATATTTCAGCGATTTCTCTTTTCATTCTGCTCCGGTACAAGTTTCTCCCCAATCAAATGACTTGAAGAGTCTGTTCCTATTGCTTGAACAGCCATTTATTTCCTATTTCATGCTCTATTTTCGAAATGAGCTGCTTCATTCACCACTGCAACTCATATTTGGCATTTAAATTATATTTTATTTATTTGTTTATTTATTTCTTTGTGTTAAAGGCAAGTGGCACGATAAATCTACAAGACGTGTAGGATTAATACGTCGAGCAGTTCGGTGCTCCCGAGCGGGCGCGGCGAGGCGCCTTTGCTAATCAAGGGACCTTTTTAGCGCCTAACCATGCCAGCAACATGCCGGTGCAGACGCCCATCGCAACCACCTGCTCACAAATGGCCACAATGGCGCTGTACCCTTATCGCTTTATTTATGGAGCACTGATATGAAGCGTTGCTACATGGGTATATGAATAAACACGTGCAGTCGTATCTAGAGACGCTTATTGGCACGATGCCAACAGCAAACTCGTCCACAAACGGTCGTCCAATTCCGTGCAAAACAAAAGTTTTCTTGCAGATTTTCAGCCGCTCAACCTCGCTTTTTCTTCATTTACCTACAACAGAGCACCCCTGCTACTATTCTTGAGGAAGCACCGGATTATTGTGCCTTACGCTTTTTAACATTTTGAAACTTACATTTGTACCTTCGCGTCAAAAATCATGGTTAACCTCGGTAATTGACAGCTCTTGTGTAAAAAAAAAGCGCGACCAACTTTTTAAGCGATGTGAGATAGGCGGAAGCGTGGCATAACTGGAAAATTCCAAAATAGGTGTACGTTACCCTTTCCAAGTACTCCTTTTCTTTCCTAGATAATAGAGATTTCCCTCTTTGAACAGAAAAGAGTGTCCCGCGGTGTTTCCATTGTAAAAACACATGCTGCCAACACGTAGTGCGTGAGAACGAGTTCATATGAAAAATTGTTTTTTTTATGATACAGTCCTTAAAATTGGAGAGGAGTTCATAAGGATATGTGAAGTCCATAAGGATATGTGAAGTCTATGTGTATGAACTAGTACCTAATCCGCCGTCATTTGATTGAATTCTTTCAAAACAAAGGGTAGTGCAGCAAGGGTAATGTCATTTAACTCTTTAATGATTAGCCTTTTCATCTGTGTGAGAACTATGGGTGATAATTAGTCCGTGATAGAACCCGCCTCTCCCCCTTTTTTTATTAGAATTTACTAGAGCTCACAGCCAGAGATGTGTGTTGCCGTTTTGCCCTTCTATGAGGTTTTTTCATACCATAAGTTTACGATTACTTGTGCCTAAATGCTATTTTATTATTATGGTTGCCGTTTGGCCGACAGAGGTGTACTGTAAAGTGGCACGCCTACCACGCGCGCGCGCGGGGGTCAAATCCTGGATCGGCTGCCCCAGGCTAACTAAGCCTTCTACCCTCGGGGGTCGGTGAATTGGTACCAGACTCTTCTGGGAGTAGAACTGCTTGTTCTCAAGCAAGATGCCTCGGCGCTAATAACCTCGGAAGGGGCATTTGAAGCTCTCTTCGTCCAATAGTGGGACCAACACCTTCCAATTGAAAGTACCGCCTTAAATAGGTCACCAATCCCCGTAAGTGCTGCCCTCCATGATGAGGCAAAAGCGCAATCCCCCAACTTACCTTCATCCAATTACCTTCATCACACGGGTCAAGTTAGGTCGATGTTGGGGGGATTGCGCTTTATATGAGTTCTCTTGTTGCAGTGCTTTAATATCTCCCCGTTCCTGCCTCGCTCCTCGTGCCGCTACCGCTATTAGCACCCCATTGGATTCTATCACGCTTATGATGACTTTTGTGATTTGATTTCAGCTCGACATCATTTGAGATGCATGCAATTTCGTAGTGAAAGGGTTTCATTTTGGCCGTTGGAGAGGGTTTTTTACGTTTTTGCTAGTCCTTTTTATTAGTTCAACTTAAAATACTTTGCTCAGACCTGTAAACTCTTGTGAAGTTGCATGGTCGTTTAAATAAGCACTGTTTGTCCCGGAAATTACAGGTCTTCATGAGGTTGCGTGCACTAGCCTAGCTGGCTGCTATTCGATGCCCCACCAAGCCGCACCCATTTCGGTTACATAATCAGCACTAATGACGGCTAGGTGTTGGGATGATTGGCTGTGCCTGGGTATCATTAGAAAGCGCTGATGTGCAGTGTGTGAAAGCGTTGATAATGATTGCTGTTCGCTGATTGTCGCCTTGCTGGGCAGTTAACGAGCAAGGAGGAGGCTTGAGCATCACTAGCTGACAGGCACCTCTGCTCGCTAGCTGCTTATTTTCACTTCCTTGCTTCCTTCAATGGATTCCTTCAGTTTTCTTTGGACATGAGAACTGATGTGCAGTGCTATATCAGACGTGACATATGTAGTAGTATGTGTCCCTATTATTTTGATTGAGTTATTAATCCGTGAAGCTTTTTTCAAGATTAGTAGCACATGTGCCATCGCTGATCGGCTTGGGAGGGGCATTTTGCTCCTTCGCCCGTTCCTTTTTGACAGTTTGACTATCTCTGCTTTTCTTCTTCTCATACCCTTTATCACTTCTCACGTGGGATCGACAGACGATTCCTTTGATCACTGTTTAGCTTCTCTAAGTCTTTTTTGGTACATATGATAGTTGTCGTGTAGTGGCATGCGGCACTCTTACCACCGCTCGGTCAATGAGTCAATGCCCGGCCCATGCCAACCAAGCCTCCTTCTTCTCCGGAGACGGTGAATCGGTACCAGATCCGTCCGCGAGGATAAGAACACTGACTTCCAGTCGCATTCAGTAAGCCACTCCGATTGTGAATGGAACTAGAATAAGGCCGCATCCCGAAAGAGGTTTATAGACGACGAAATATCAATTCTTACATGATAGTTCTAGTCCACGTGAATGGTTGTGGAGAATGTCCGCGGTCGCTTATCATTCCTAATATTCTTTTTGATTGATAGCTCTCTCTTTCTTTTGACAGCCTCCACAACAATCGTAGACGTACAAGGGTACAGCATTGTGATGTGTGAAATGGCGGTGTCACTATGACCGCCCCTCCAGAAAAATTCATCTGGTACGGTCGCCTTCCCTATCCTACGTACCATCTTCCCAAATTTCTCAACGTCCTACCTCTTTCTAAGGGTTGTTTTCCTGTTTTTCTCGAGAAAAAAAGAGCTGCCGCCGAGTAGGCGGGAGAGAGGGGGAAGACGTCATCTACCAACTACTATTTCAACTATCAGGGAGTAGTTCAAGAGATGAAGCCCGGTTTGAAGAGACCCTTGCGCATCTAGCTGAAGAGACCCCTCGCATCTTAGCTTGAGATGCGCAGGGGTGGGAGCGGATTGGATTGAAATATAAAGCGGAGAAAACTCGCTGAAATCCTTAAACAACGGGAAATTTTCTTCGCATCTCGGAAGAGTTTCTTCCAACGCCAATACCGACTTCTCAGCGACCGAATACGATCCCTCGGTGTGATCCTGTTAACCATGCTACAACCCTGTTATAATTTTCTCTGAGTTGTCTGAGCGCATAGCACTTGTTTTTAACAGAAGCACTTCTTCATTATTGATTGGCTGCCTTTCTTAGATGGCTTTACAAAGCTTTATTGCGCTTATCATATGTCCTGTCGGTGAGAGAGGGGAGCAATTCTGCGAACTGCGAATGCTCCTCTAAATTTCTGGTCTGATCCCTCCTTCCCCATCCCCTGTCCAGCCCAGCCATCAAACCTACCAATACCTACCATATTCCTGAGTTCCCAAAGAAATTTTCCACTTATCAAAAAAAACTACTGTTGTCGAAAGGGGCGAAGGGAAACAGCATATGCGAAACGAAAAAAAATCGAGAAAAACACGACCCCGTCGCTGAAATCTCTATTGGACGACCTGCCCTGGTGCTGAGTAAATATTGTAATAAATCTGTTCTGGTGATATTGAGGGAATTAATATTTACATCCATATTACGTGGCAATGGAGCAGCAGGTGAATAAGCCATTCGAATTTTTTCCCTTCCATATATGCAGCTTACGCTTAATGCATTAGATTTTTCTATTTTCAGTATTCTGGTCGTTCAATGTGCGTTTCTAGGTTTGGCATTATCTTTTGAAGCTGCAAAATGTTTATGAAATCAATGTCCCAGAAAAATAGGAAAGATAAGGTCAGGGAAAGATAAGGCGTCTGGAGGGTTCCTCGTATCTTTCAGCCATTCATAGGGAAATAAGCGCTGTTGGCTGTCGAGCCGCATAAATTAACTTGTATATCATCTGTAGCTCAGGAAGAAATGATGTTGTACTATTGGTATGAATACGATCACTGCTATTCCTGAAGAACCAGGCTTCGGACGATTTTCAAGCCCTTTTATGACGCGCCGGGTATTCCACTTTTGTTCAGAATTCTATTTCTGATTCAGTTAGGCGCATTCTTGACTTTTGGAAGACAGACGATGTACAGTTCATTTCTGTACTGTTCTAAACCAATGTGGTACCGATTTCTCAGCCACGGAGGAATACATGGTTCAATTGGCTCTGGGACACCCGAACCGACATACCTGGTAGGCGGCGCCACTTGCCTTTCCGCAAGTTCTTGATCACTCGGGAGAGGAGGTCGTACCTTATTTCAAAGGGAGTTTTCCGATCGTTGATTTGTGCTGTTTCATACGCGTTTTGTATACCTCCCAGTTGGCGGATAGGAGCTCTCCGCTACCCTACCCCCCTCCCCTCCCTCCCTGCCTCTTCCCCTCTCCCCGGGAAATTGGTGAGAAAGTATTCACATTGTAAGAGTGTACAAGAGGTCCTGAAAAACATGAGAGGTATATAGGTTGTAAGGTTGTACAGGGGGGGTGGTCTATCTAGCAAACATCTTATACAACGCGGCACAAAACAGTGTTCTGAATCCTTCCAGAGATGGATGGCACCAAATTACCATCCCCCTGGAAGGTTTCAGTAGCTTATGCAAGATCCGATCCAATGTTTGAACCGTGCGCCTGTTGAGCGGCGCCACTTGCCATTACGCCACCTTTTCTGCGGCTTTTTGCCTTGTATAGAACATCGAATCTCTCGTGTACGTTCATCCCGTGGGAGGAAAGAAAGTATTACTTTTTTTCTTCTGAACTATTTGGTTCTTTATGGATTTTATTATCAAAAAATGATAGATCGTTGTCATCTAAGAGTTATCGAGATTCCATGTATTACCAGGCGCTTTTCGGCTTAGGAGGGGCATGGCATTTTCGCTAGCTTTTGTCAAATAACATGTCTCACCATGATGAGACCTGTAGACGCCTCTCAAAGTAATTGGAGCTCCTGCTATTGCAGGAGTTACTTTACAGGAATTTACAGGTTTCCACGAGAGGCATCGACAATGGTCGACAGAACAAGCGAAATGCCCCCACCAGGCCGAACTCCGCCGTATTACCATACTTGCTTGATCCTAACTCCTGAGCGATTATGGTCCTAGTCATTGGTTCGATGCTGATCCCTTCATTTCACGTTCATGCCTATCTTTTGCATTAGGCTGTTATTCTTGGAAAACTGCATGGGCTGAATGCTCAAGTTATCCGTAGGGAAAAGAGCCGCCACGGCTCGTTTCACATGAGTGGCAGTGCGCTTTTGTTGTTCATTTCAGCCATCTTCACAGGTTCTCACGTAAATAGTAATATTAGTAATGATACAGAGCTCGTGGATGCTTCCTGCCTGACAGCCCATTGCCTTCATTGACATCCCTTCGCAGCTAATTATGTGTTGTAGGTTATTTCCCACAGCCAGGAAGAAGCTAGACATTCCCACTTGATATACTTGCGTTGCTGTCTGCCTTTATTGAAAAGCTTTGGCATATTCGAGCGACGCTGAGACGTACAGACGCCCTTTGCGTATCGCAGAATCCCATCTGTCAAGCTTCCATCCGGGAGGCGTAAGCGCCCGTGACGTGACGTGGGTGCATTGCATGCTCAGAACTCGTTCACTTAGCTTTTCTTCACTCATTCGATGCGTTTTGGAAAATGTCGTTCCGAAACGAACTAAAACGCGTTGCTGCGACGT